GCAGAGAGGGGGCTTGCGCAGGAGAACTTTCCCAAGCGCTGGTACCGCGAGCGAGCGAGCAATAGCCTGGCCACAAGCTGCTGGCCCGCTCGAGCTCTCCCTGCCCCTCCCCGCCCCCAAGGGAAGGATCTGGAGAAGTTACCTGAGTTTTGGGCTGGAAGCCTCGTCTTCCTGGGGCTGACGGAGGAGTCATTCTGCTCGGGTTCATAGGATGCAGAAGCAGCAACCGCCAGCAGCAGGAGAAGCGTGGGCTTTTGGTGCATTCTCTAAGTTTCCGCCAAGTTCGCGCGGCGTGCTCGCTCGAGAGTCTCTCTCTCTCTCTTTCTCTCTCTCTCTCTCTCTCTGCCCACTTCCTTGGCTTGAGCAAAGACGCGGATCTGGCTGTTGTGGGAAAAGAGAGAGGAGGAAGAAGAGGAAGATTCGCCGAATCAGCTCAACCCAAAGAGCCCCCTCTCTCTCCTTCGATTCTGGCTCCTACTAGCTGCAGGTGACCAACCTGGAGCTTTTATAGCCGCTCTTATCTCCCCCCACCCCCAAAAGTCCTTCCCCGATCAGGAACCAATCGGGGGACGCGGTGGGCGGCCAATGAGAAGCGATGCTCATTCAAGCACAGGACGCCTGGAACTTCATAGGAAGAATATTTTCCAACCCATTAAAAGGACCTCCAAACGGAATCTAAAACCAAACAGACACGCACGCACACACAGACACACACACAAGTTAATTTTCGTTAATGTAAAAGAGGGAGCGAGAGCTTAGGGAATTGGGTTCAAACGCTGCTCTGTGCATAATCAAACTTTGGGCATTAGTTTCTGAACCAATACGGACTTCCTCATACACGTGAAAAATAGCAAGGAAAGGTGAAATCTTTTGCAAAGAGCATCCGTGTTCTGAACAGATGGAAACGGTAGGGGTTTAATAGGTACTCCCCCAAAGTAGGATGCGACTGGGAATAAAGGCAGTCACATAAACAGGCATGGATGAAGACAGCATCTCCTAAAGCATTAGGATCAGTGTTACTATGCAGTTCCTTTACACTCCCACATTTATAAGTGATAAAAATACATATCTTAAATATCACTGTTTCCTACCCTGTTTCTAAGACCTAAAGTTTTTATAGTTACTGGAGTTGGGTGACAGGATTCTTGCCATGAATAGCTGCCTTTGGGATGTTGGAAAGTTAACCAGTAGTTTCCCAGCGAACAATCTGGGTTGCAGCATTCTGGGGAGCTCCAGGGACTGTCCAATTTGGTGGACATTAGCCTGGTAGATACATGTCCAACGTCTGATGACTAGCAATTGATGGGGCTGTTGACAGAGTCATATCCTCTAGATGTTTGGATTACAACTCTAGAATCCCTTGCCATTGCCCATGCTGGCTGGGATTCATGGGAGTTGAGGTCCAAAACATCAGGAAGGTGTTGTGTTGCTTGTCTCTGATGTGGACAGTTCCCCATTGCTACTCAGCCCATGATGGCTGTTCATTTCCCTTAAGCAAAGTGGTTCTTTATATTGCGGTGATCTGACAATCAGCATATATGTGTGAGCCTGCAGTACTTGGTGCTTGACAGGGGAATGTGAGAACAGAATCTACTAAGATGTATTTTTTTCCCCTAGAAGATACAGCATGGTCATTTTTTTTGTTTTTGTTTTTTGTTTTTGTGGTAACACATCCGTAGAGGCCTACGAACTGTGACTTGATTTTCGAGACATCAAGTAGAAGCAGGTATGTATGAAACAGCCTTGCACTTCTTTGTATAAAAAGCTGATCTACATGTTACAGCTCCTATATTTAGGCTGCCCTAAATATTTGTGTATGCCTTTGAACTGTGGTGCTGGAGAAGACTCTTAAGAGTCCCCTGGACTGCTAGGAGGTCAAACCAGTCAATCTTAAAGGAAATCAACCCTGATTGT